ACCCCATATTTTCAAGTATAAGTTCTCGGGCCCTGACTCCATGGTCAAAGCTGTCAAGCACTAATCAACAGTTTATTGACTTATAAGGAGCGAAAACATATTTAATTATCTATATACATTGTTAGATATAAAGGACAAGAGGGTCCGGCCCGACTAATTAATTGCCATTGCCATGGTTTTAAGGGAAGTTAGGCCGTCCGCGGCAAGGGGGCAGCAAGATCGGCGCCGTCAGATCTAAGAAAAGGTACCTCAAAAAGAGATGATTATTTGCTTAAACTGTTAGAATAAAAGTGGTAAATTTAATAAACAATAATGATAAATGTGTAATTAGCCAGATTTAAAGGCGTCGGCAGCAATGCCCCCTGAATCCTGAGGGCCTACAAACGGCAAAATTTATGGGTGCCAAGCCAACCCTTACTTTGATATACCATAGTTTATAAACTCATGAAGTATTCCGTTATAAATTATTTATGTGATGTAAGACTAAAGATCCAAAATATGTTGCATAGGTAGGTAAATTCATTATATGACATAGTTTGAATGAAAAAGAAAAATATCAAAAATAAGTTATGTTTATTTATAAATTATTAATTACACAGTATCACAACACTTGGTATTTAACATACTAAAGTGATATTTAAAATAGAAATGAGAAAAAAAAACAAGGAAAAGATTAAAGATCAGAAAGTAATTTAAAAGTATTCATAGTCTTGTACCTTCCATCTGCCTATCGAAATACACAGTAACACTAACATATCTAATTTTAACAACAGTGAATTCAGATAAAATAAATGAATGATAACAAGATTTATGGATTTAACATATCTTGGATAAGGCACTTGAAAGAAAAACGGAAATTACTTCTAATAAATAGCTACCACACTCAGTTGGCTAATGCTGGAGAATAAATAATGCAATAAATAGCGATAGAATTAAATAAAATATGATTAAGGCAGTAATGTGTAAAAATACACAGGAACTAAAGAAGCAACAAATTTGGTATATATTTTGCTACACATTTCATCTATTTTTATTACATTTCTCGAGTCAACGGTATTTGATACATCCTCAAAATATCGACTAAATTCAAATGAAAATCACAAATGCTCAAATCAGCTCTTATTTTTTAAGCATATGAATGCATCAATAAATCTATATAGACCTATCCCGACTGCCTTAAAGCTTTTCAATTGAAAGAATTTCGGCTTTAACGACCACAAAATACCACAGCGGGGATCTCCCCACGGACCCCACTAATAATATCATATCCCACAATTACTAAATAATCATTATTATCTATACTCGCACATGTGACCACAACCAGTAGGACAAGTTCTATTTATGGAAAACCACTGCCTGATATGCATCAAATGGCCGCCATGGGAACAACCTTGGCACCAAACGTACAACCCCCTGACAACCTGATGGCAAATGCTACACAAGGCGTAACGGGACGAATGACACCTATCGCACAGCCACCCTACTCTCTGTAACGGCTTGGCGCATTTACTACAATTGGTATTGAATCTGGTGCTCTGCTGGTTCAACTGGAACACCGACGGCAACCAGGCCAGTTTTATCACTTGAGTGGCTACGTTCCACAAACGGAACCTGCCAAGGATCTCGATATAACCCAAAAGCCAGTGCTCCTGGAGGGATTCGCTCAGGTCTTTCAGGTATTTCCTGCAATCGCCCAGAACGATCAAGATACAAGCTGCCGTTTGGATATCGCCTAGGATGGCGTGATGCTTCAACGCTTCGATCACTATATTACTGGGATTCCAAAGGTTTTTCTTGGGCGGTTTAGATACGGATATCAAAACGGGAGGCTGATCGTCGAACTGGAAAGTGTGGGGTTCCTCATTAATGTCTGGCGAGTGGTGATTGGGAAACTGCTCTGGAGGAGAGGAACGTTCTAAGATTTCATGTCGAATAGGAAAAGCCTCGTTGGGAAGGGTCCAGTCTTGTTGGCATTCAGGCGTTATGTGGTTGAATCCCCTGTAGCTTGTTCGGAAATCTGAAAGGCATTGTTAAATTTTATATATGTCTTGGGTGATTACTGAAATTGAGCTTACCGGAATTCAAACTGTCTATTTCCATATCGAGTTCATTTTCTCCAAACGAAAAGTCGCCTTTCGGCAGTCCTGTACGAAAGTTTAGGTCCGCAGGGAAACCATTATTGTAAATAACGGCATGGTCCACTTGATCTTCATTTTCTGTTTCGTCGTCTCCGCCACTGAACTGCGCTGCCGGAGTGTCGCCACCTTCAAAAATATTTATGTAATGATAGTCGTTTCATTAGGTAAAATTCTATACAGTGTCCCAAAGTTCATGCAACAAAATTTCATAGATTCTTAAGACAAATTTAGGGTACCCGTATTCTTTCTTTTTGCCAAGTGGCCCCCTCTTTCGGAGTTACAGCCCCCTGAAATCCGCCCCTAAGCATAATATTTTTTTTATCTCAGAACCCTGTTGTACGAGAATCACTAAATTTGGTACACAGGGGTTTTATGAAATGTGGAGTCTGATGGTGCTACACTTTTTGGCGGTGAACCCCCTTAAGACAGTTTTTCGTGGGCCCCCTTTTCTTTGGAGCCACAAAAATTTAGTGGCATATTTAAATTTGTTAAAAATTATTAGCCCGCTAGAAAGGCATTAAATTTAGAAACTGTTTTGGCCCTTGATATTTTTTTCGTAAAACGCAATGTTTTCGAGAAAAATGTCAAAATGTGATCGAATGCCATATCGTGATTCCTTAAAAATATTGCGTTTTACGAAAAAAATATCGAGACAAAAAAGTTTCTAAATTGAATGGCTTTCTAGCTAACTAATAATATTTAAGAAATTCAAATTTGCGACAAAATTTTTTTGGAGGCACATGAAAAAGTATGTAAGGAAGTTTCCTGCCAAAAAGTGTAACATTCAGATGTCACATGTCATAAAACCCCTGTTTATCAAATTTAGTGATTCTCATACAATGTTCTGAGATATAAAAAAGACTATTCTTAGGTGTAGATTTCAGGGGGCTGTAACTCCGAAAAAGGAGGCCACTTGGCAAAAAGAAAAAATACGGGTCCCCTAAATTTGTCTTAAGAATCTATGACCAAATTTTGTTGCATGAATTTCGGGACACCCTGTATAAAATTTAAAGTTATATTCAAGTCAAAGAATGACAATGTACTATACATTATACAAATATAAAATAACAAAAATTTTGCTGTATCTTAAGGCCGGTTGATATAAAATACACAATTTAAATGAGAAATAAAATCGCAGACAAATTCTGGAAAAAGGAGAAATAATTTTTTATGAATTTCATTGGTTTGTGACTGAATTAGTGGAGTCATACCATCTGCTGAACGTAAAAATAAGAAATTATTCCAAAAACTATAGTGGTCACTATTATTTTTGTTACTTGCATGCAGTTAACAACAATACAATTTAAAAATTAATTAAAACAAAATGTAAAATGGAAGTTGTAGTGTAATACATTTTACATAATTTATGACACAGGTAATGCAGAACGACAACAAACAATAAAATTTGATAAAAAGACCCTACAACTTTTCTTTAATACTTCGTTCTTATATGAACAAAATTTTGTAGGAACGTTGTTTTTGCGATTTTGCAAAAATATATTTGCGTTCGTTCTAGCTAGAACCAACTTTTACCCTGCAATGAGGATGGCAGTACCAACAACGACCAAGAGTAGCAGTTAGTTGTAAAGTGTAAATCTCAATACACTTATTTAACGCAAAGAAATATCACTTAAATAACTCATCTTATCGACGAAAGAGACCGAGACCGGTATATGTCTGGTGGTTTCTATTGACAAATGAACCTAGTTGTTTACTAGATATTGCATGTAAAATTCAATCGTTGGTGCATTAGTCTGCAGAGTAACTGTTTACCGCAATATAATAAATTATATCTTCAGTTAAAAATAAGTAAACATATTTTACACATATTATTTTCAGAGATATAAGCGAAAGAAAACTGAAAAAAGAGCAATTATTTATTTTTTTCTTTTGTTATAAACAATATGATGCTCGACCTCAACAAATACACAAATTTAGGCTTTTAATCTATGTATTTTAACTTAATTTTAAGCCCATAAAATTCGATGTAGGCTCGATTTTTTAAACAGGCATGTGTTTGGTCTAATTCGCCCGGACTGGAAAAGAATTACTGATGCTACAAAATCAAATTGATCATTTGTCTCATATAAACTATTTGCAAAAACCTCACCTTTTGATTTTTGATCGGGTTCTACATCCCTAATGGTATTTATGGCATTTTCAAGACCTATACCAGATGGAACCATAGTATTAATTGGCATGTTATTATGAGAACCTTCATCACGGTTGTTATTTGTTGCATTAATAGAATTCTGCATAAATTCTTCACCATACATTGTTTTTATTATCTTCCATATAACGGATATCTAAAACAAAAAATCAGCAATATATAAGAATATCCGTAATATTGTTTTCGGCGAACTTACATGCGACTTTCCAAACTCTCTAGCTACCGCTGAATTATGCTCGCAAAGTTCCGATATACTTCTCCCATGTAAAACGTAGTTCTTTGCTAGCGCTAGAAAATTGTCCGATTCCTGTTTCTGGATACAATTAATATGTGTGAATTGTAGCAAATTACTCGATGTCTGATGGAACTGATCTGCAGATTGTGTTGTTGATATCTTCCTAACAATATGATAAAAATATACCCAACCGATGGATTAAAATATATAAAACTATACCTGATAATACCAGCAGTAGCTTTGGCTAAAGAATTGTTGTTATTGGTGTTATTATTTACGGTAGAGACCTTCCTAGCATACAAAATCTCTCCCATCCTGTTCAAAGACACACCTTGTGGGTTTGCCTTACTAGCTGGCCGCAAAGCATCATTGAATGAGTGTTGATATAATGTGCAATCCTAAAAAAATTTAATGCATTTCCTAACGAGTGCAACTTAATCTTCATATGACACCAGACAAATATGTAAGGCAATTTCTAAAAATATATCGTTACTGATTACAGTTGTCTATGAGGTAGGAAATACAGAGGCGGATTCGATATAAATTATTCATAAAATTAAATTAAATCTGTGACTTATTTCTTTCTTAAACCATTGCTACTTGAAACAAATTTTAGAAACAAAACCTTAAGTGCATGTTCTAACGTGAAAAAGTAATTTTTTATCGTTGATTAAGGCAACCTGATTTTGAAGTAATACTCATTTTGCTGGACCCAAACCTGCGTAGACACAACAATAAACAACAATTCCATGAAAAAAGATTGTGAATTATCAACTGACTAATGACTAATAGCATGCAGTTTAATATGAAATTTCTTTAGTTATTTTTAGGACGGAACTTCTGATAAAATTTGTGGGCGAGGTAGTTACTCTATGACACAATAATACAATAATACTTGTCAGTAAATAATAGTTATTTATTTACCAAGTCGAGCGAGCGAAGCGACGAGGCGAGTAAGAGGCGAGTTGGATAAAGTTACTTTACTAGAGAAAAAATGGAGATATTAATATAACTTATCATATTTTATTATAACAAAGTACTTAAACAGAAAAATAATAGAATACAAAACAAATCTACTTATTTTTTGTTAAATAGGTATTAAACATGAACATACACCCTGACATCATTATAAAAATTAGTTCCTGAAGTCGCAGGAGTTTCAGTTGAAAATGTTTGAGGATTATTATCTATGTTAACAATTTGTAAATTTTTAGTAGAATTATCATTGGCAATAATTATGTTCTGAATTTAACTTTCACCTAAAATTGTCTTTTCGTTTTATTGAACACAGATTCTGGCAAATGCAGATAGATGGCAATTTTGCTTGGTACACTTCCAAAAGTGTGGATTCCAACTATCTGGACTGTGCATTTACCATTTCTAGGAAGTTAGAAAAAATCGGTCGTGAGGCGTCTGTTTAGGACGCATAGCTAAATATTTGTTAAATAATTCTACAAATTTTACTTTACCTTCAAACTCTGAAGTGGTCACAAATATTTGAGGCCTGTTGACTTTAAACAACCTAAATTATTTCTTTGTGCTCTATGTCACTTACTTTTAAATTCAAAAGTTCTTTATTATGTAAAGCCGTTAAACTGTTGCTTTCACCATGGAATAATACGACCACATTGAAAAGGGAGATTGCCCTTTTGATAACTCCGAAAAATATACCAGTAAAACATTTTCACTATATCTTTTAATTTCATGTTTTTTGCATTATTCCATAATTATGCCATACTGGCACTTGTATTTCTCGACTGATTTTTGTGGTAGAATTTCAACACGTTTCTAATGACTTTTCCCGAATTTCAGGCGGCGTGCACTGAATGTCTTCTTCCATCAATTTCTATACATAATTCGTGACAAAACTTTTACTATTGGGCGACAAACGATTACTGATTAATATCATACAGTAATGGCTAAGTTGATAAATATTTGCGTCAGATAAAAGGCTTGATATTTACAATAAAATAAATGATTTTTTACTTCCGGTAATGGTAATGCAAGGTTCTATTGACGGTTGGCGAGAAATAAAATCACTTATGGTATGTATACCACAATTTTCTTGAAAGGTATTTCAAAATTCCTTTAATATTATATTAATTTAATTCATCACATTACTCACCAGATTTTCTTATGAATAGACTAGGCGGAGATAAAAAGGAAAAACAGAAAGTTGTTAAGATATTATAAATACTTACCCGGCCACTGCTTAAATATACATGGGGGTCTCCCCTCCAAGCAACTCCACTAGCAATATCCCTATGTTCGTTAAAAGAAGCGAAGGGTATATACGGCCTACGTACATCCCAAATATTTATGCTACAGTCGATAACTAAAGCACAGCTAGCTATGTGATACTTTCTTTGAGGGCGCCACTTTACATGCCCTATAGAAGCTATAGTATGTATAGTGTATTCAAGTGTTGGCTTACTCGTCAAATCCCATACCTAAAACATTTTTTTTGTAAAGTGTTTTTGTAAGGTCAAAATAAAGCACAACCTTAATTGTTTTGTCTCTACTAGCAGTAGCAAGCCAGGTACATTCGGGATGCCAGTCGCACGCAAAAACCGGACCGCTGTGAGCTGTGTACTGTAACTGACATTTCTCCGGCTTTCTTATATCCCATAATTGTACACTACCGTTGTCTGAAACAGCCGAGAATGTGTAAGGGTTATGTGGGCTAAATTGAACATCCCTGACACTCTCCGTATTACTAAAATATTATTAATACAGTAAGAAAACTATATGGTTCTAATCGGTTCAAAATAGGTACCTATAAAAAACTGAAACTGCGCTCTTTACTCTAAGATCAAAATATCTCATTGTGCCGTCTTGAGATCCCGATATGAGCTTAAATGGTTCAGAGGCATGAAAATTTACTTTGTTAACAGTTCTTTTGTGATCCTGATAGTCTTGTTCCTGCATAGCTTTGCCCATTTTTGTGAGGTTCCATACACATACATGGCCATTTGTAGCAGCAGTTGCCAAATAACTATCTAAAATAGATTTAGCATGAACATATCATCCTGAAGAGTAAAATTGATATTTACCATCTGTGGAACTCCACGATACATCGTTGCAGGAGAAACTCAAATTTAAATGTTTCGACGCCCGAAGATTACAAATTTCTCTAAATTTATCTTCTTCTATTGCATATACTTTGAAGACTAAAAATTGGAAAAATAAAATATGAGCTATCGATACATAAAACATTTGTACCATTTCGTCCACCTATAGCCACTTGTGTGTTGTCCTTATTTAATGCTAGAGCATTTACAGGACCTTCTTGAGCCACATGAAATGTTGCCATTTCTTTAATTATTCGTCAATCACTAATCTATTTAGTTCACTATGAAAAAGACATCAATGATAAATATGGTTCAAAACACCAGAGGAACGTAATAGGTACATATATTAGTGTAATACTGGTTTCAAAAATACAAAATAAAATCACACATTATTTAGTTTTTTCCTAATATTAAAAATAATAGTGTAATAATTAATCAATTATTTGTTTTTAACAACACCAAAAGAAAACAATCCAATAAAGCAATAAAGGTCAAATCAAATGACAAATGACTAAAGTCAGAATTAAGATAAATAAATATATGTGAGGATAATTTCTCTCCAATGTTATCAGTCATTCTTTGATCATTCTTTTGGAAGAAGAATAAGTTTTAAGGAAATATTTACTACTCGCCTCGTCGTGTGATTGTGATATTGTTACCACCAATAATACACATCTGTTTTAATTTTGCATAACCGATAAGCACTCAATTTCATTTTGACATTTAACATAACCTATACTTCTCTAATCAAATCTAAGACATAACCTATCTTTATTCCTTATTCATTTTCATTCAAACTGAAAAAAAATCAATATACTATTTACACATTGTAGTGGTAAGAAGTAAATTATATTGTAACATTTTAAGTTGGAAGTAGTTATATTTAAAAAAAAATGTCCTGTTGTAAAGGTCTACAACATATTCGAAACTTAAATTCTTTATCTGCATCAATTACGAAACCCCACAGATTAACTTATGTAAGGACTTATCCCACAGTTCTTGTTAATCCTGACGGTTCAACTGTAACGATAAGGTATCCTGAACCTAGAAAAATAATAAAGGTAAAGTTAATATACATTTGAAATAAGCGAGGGAGATTTCACAGCTATGTTTCTAAAGTTATAATAAATAATATATATTTGCCCAAATTACTAAATATACGAATGATAAACATGATTCAACAATATACAGAATGTAATAATTTTTTCAGCTGCCAATTAATATTTGGGCTCTTAGTGAAGCAGAAAGGAAAGCAATAATAGAACAACGTAAACCGAAGAAAAAAGTTAAATTGGAAGATGATTTAGAAGATTCTTTCGATTCTAAAAAATATTTAAAATATTTAAAGAAAAAGTAGTATATATTGTACTTGTATTAAATAGTTAAATAAAGTTGATTTAAAACTATTGTTTATTGTTTTAATTAGGTAATATTGGAGAAGAAATTTTGTAATATGTATTATTCAACAAAATTGAATTTAATCTTTTAATTTTTATAATGTAGCTTCGGACATTATGTATAACATTTGTTAACAGTTGGATTCGTTTCTACACTTTCATTATGGTAATTAAAATAATGGAAACAATTGTGTTAAGTTTGGTGAAGAAAAGAAAGTATGTGAAATACGTTTCCTGATGGGAAATTTTCACTTCTTGAAAACATTTTATTTATTGAGTCCCATGATCTATCTTCACACTTAAATATTACCCAATATAAGAAGGATGAGAAAATTTTGTAATATCTGTAGAGAATCGTGTGACCAGCTTGTTTTTCTGTGAATGGTCAGAAATAATCTAGTTCTGGTAATAATGAAATATTCAAATCAGGCGCATTTTTATTGAGTGCGCACGCATACTATTCAGCAGTATGAAGGAGAAATCACATGAGTATCTCTGATTTGCTTATTTACACCAATCAACATGCAATTCATTGTGCCGAGAACGTAAGTCCAGACTTATTTCGTTAAGAATATGGCAGCTGCTGTTTGGGAGAAAGCTTTGCAGTGTCATACACTTTTTATTTACCTTTGAGGCTTGAAAATAAAAAGGTGTACGGTGAGAAAATTAGGTTTCGGTACCTAGTCTCGTATTCGAGTTTTGTAACTTATCTATGGTGATTACTGGCTTTGGTAGTGCTGATTAAGTGAACGAGTGTTTAGTGAACTATTTATTATTTGGTTTGTGGTGTAAAGGTTTTCTAAATTTAATTATAAATCCCGCATATACATACTTGCGCCGTCATATTTCCCCTAGTTAAACGGTATGTAGGAAAACTGTGTTAAATTAAAAACTAGACATTGTGCTGGGATTAGATTTAAAGTCGTCGGAAGCCGTTTGTTTATAATTTGACGTGACATGTCAAATGTAAAACGGTGGTAACAAAAAATAATTTTGATGTTTCCTTGATAAATTTTAAATTATGTGTAATATAAAGACTTACGAAGTTCGTCTAAATTGTACACAAATATGTACGAAATTGGTTAATAACACGTAAATTAATTTCCATCCAATATTATGATGTACCCAGTAAATAAAAATGAATCGGCTACTAAAATTTCGTGTATATATGACACTCCATGTGACCCTAAGGACAGCGATTATGAGAAGTTGTTTTGCCCCAATAATGAACTATCCGAACCTCCGAGGGCCCGCAGTGATAGACTTAAAACGGGCTCTTCTTGCCAAGCCTTAAAACATGCGGTGGCTGCCCTACACCGGCTCGATGACTTCCGAAGAGAAAAAATTGGCGAGGGCTTTTTTTCCGAGGTCTTCAAGGTGAGTCCCACAAATATCTCGTACGTTTTTGCGAAAAAAGCTAACTAGGTCATACATATGCTTTTGTTAACCTCGAATTTCCATATATGAGAGGATTTAGGTGTCTTATTGGACCCACGGTCATTTATACAAAAAATGACATTAAAATGAGCCGAGATAAACAAATATCTGTAAATAACTTGTAAGGGATCTGGCCAGAATCTCCGGTTTATTTTTACACCCAGCTTCAAACACAGAAATGAAAACATTTAAAAATTCTTAGCTCTGTAAAACAACTACGCCTACACACCTTACCTGGAGTGTTTTTAACACTGCAATAAATATCCGGCAAACAATTATTTTTTAAATTTAAATCGAGACGCATTGGAACACTAGAATTCTTTAACAAAGTTGTAAAAAATTGCGCGTATGTTTTTACCCACATTAAAATGAGGGTTAAACATAGCTTCAACATAAATACAATCCGATGGGATATTTTGTTTAAAAAGGATATTAGTTTAGTAGGTTATAGCCTCACAAATATCGTGAACTGTGGTAATTTTGTTTATTACCGCTTTCGAGAATACTATCTATAAAATAGTAAAGGTTACAGCCTTATTATTGGAAATTAATTAATTACTAATGCAAAAAATATATATTACTAATTTACTATTAGGTTTGATTCTCGGTTTGATTTTTTGTTTAATAGGATAAGTTGCAAATTACTTCCGAAATTTCCTAGTTTCTATATGTCTGTTCAAAATTTGGAAAGGGCAAGTTAAAAAAAGTTTTGATTTCAGGAGAAAACTGTTCACAAGCAGATTAAAAGACAACAAATTCTTTAGGTGTATAAATTTTGTAGCACTATTTGTTTTCATGCAAACCATCTGTCGAATAGTTGTTATTTTCCAATTCCATAATATATTAGAAAAAGTGAAGGTATGCGACTTGGCATACAAGTGACGGCAGATGCTTTGAGAGATCAGAATTCGTCCCATTATTGAGATTCATGGTTGATCTCTTTTCTTATCTACAAAGTATTCCGGATCCGTTTTCAATTATTTTTTTTGTTATCACAAAATGTATGTTGAAACGAAAAAGAGACAGGTACAAGCTCATCCATCGGGTCAGCTTTCACGTAATTTTTTCGAACATGCCAACGCATTTAATTCAACAAGACATGAATTGAAAAACAAATAATGGTCATTATAAAACTTAACTTTTTTTCAATAAAGTTAATTGTTTTTCTCTAGTAATACAATGTAAATTGTCGAGTAAATTGTAATATAAAATATGTAATGCGAAATATTTAGACAAATGATCTCACAAAAATGCAATTTAAAAATGGAAGATTTAGCTTTACACATTACAGTTATATAATTTTTTTCAATTGCGTACGCGTTTGCGTTATCGTTAACACAAAATATATTGTTTGTCGCTGCATATTTCTTGCAAATTCACTGCCGCAATTCTTAGCAAACATTGAAGCTTGCAGGAAAATAAAAAGCTGGCATACTGCCCACTAACCAAGTTCAATAAGTGTGCGGAATCTCTCTCAATAGCCAACAATTTTTTTTCTAGACGTCTTGATAAAATATCTTATTTGCCGGGTGATTTCCACCCAACGTCCACCCACCTTAACTTGTTTTTTTGAGGCAGTAAAATATGTGAGCATGTACTTTTTGCACAGGTCTTTGAAAAATGATCAAACATATTAGTATACAGGGTAAATAAAAGAGTATACTTTTTTTAAATGGGACACCTACTTATATCTGAATTAATTTACTGATTATTCATTTAATTCTAAGCATTTTTATATAATAAGTCATATACTCAAAGCCAACGGTCTTTGAAAGATTAGCAAGTAAGTAAAATTTTGAAATTTATAATTTTAACTCGAATTTTAAGATTTTAAGTTCTTATCTTGTAGCAATGGATAAATCAATAAAAGTGACAGTGACAGTAACTTCCTCAAATAATTCAAAAAGTATCGCTGCAAATTCTTATTAAAAATGTCATACTCGCAAAGAGAAAAACAAATAATTTTAAGTTCGTTTATTCGAAACAACTATAATGTCACGCAACAAGACTTAACTCGAAAAAAACAAGAATCCTCCTTGCAAAAAGACAATTAAAACGATATTCGAAAATCTTCAACAAACATCAAGTCTGAACAGAAAGAAAAGAGTGCTGCAAGATAACGAAGATGCGCAACTTATATTACTTTTTGTGCAAGAAAATCCAAATAAGGCATATTTTAAAAAGTTTGCAAGAATGGAATGTCCAAAATACGCCCTATTCAAAAGTTCAGAAGGCTCTCAAGAAAGCTGGTTACAAACCTTTCAAGATCAGACCCACTCCAAAATTGACACAGACGCATAGAGAAAAGAGAGTAGAATTTTGCCGCCTTATGATGGAAAAAATTAATATGGCATGATAAATAGAAAAAATACCAGGTATTGGGCTACAGAAAATCCATTCTGTTAGGTACAGAGAATTTAGATTTCAAGGGCGCCAGTGCGTTAACGTTTGGTACGGACTAATGGATAAAAAAATTATTGGACCTTATTTTTTCGATCAAAACTTGAATGGGGACTCATATTTAAACTTTCTCCAAAACGACCTAGAAGATTTTCTAGATGAATTATCTTCGCAGCATTTTGGACATGTTATATTCCATCAGGATTTAGCCTCACCCCATAGCACCATAAAACCAACGTTTAACTAATGGCCAGCCAGCAGTCCAGATCTTACTCTAATGGATGTATTTCTATGGGGATATTTAAAAAATCGCATTTACCAAAATCATATTGAAAATATAGAACATCTTGTGCACCTTGTATAACTTTTTGTAGGCTCCAAAATTAATAGGAAATTTCTTTTAAAACAGGATACTATGGTGTATTTCAGGAAATTCCCACCAGTATCATATTTACATAAGTTACATATTTACTTTAACTTAGTCGGCTGTGACAAAATTTTGAGAATCAAAATGCATAAGTGAGCTGTGGAACTCAAACAACGTACATGGTTATTTTCGTTGTCATGGAAACATCGTCCAGGCCGGCTGGATTTTTTTCTAGTATCTTCTTTGGCGCATCCGTTTATTTGCCTTCAAAGCTTTTGTTACTTTATCGGTCGTTCAAGCCTACGCTTTGCTGACTGTTTATTTTGATGTTATTTTTCCAGCAACCCATCAGCGTCTGCAATCGGATCTGTTTTCGTGAATCGCAATATCTGTTATTGCTTATCATTTAGGTAGTTAAGTCGTCCACCCATGCTTACCAGAAAGACAAAAGATTACTTCAATTATTAATAAAGTCGCGTTAGCCCACGTATGTTGTGTAGGGAATGATCGATATCTGGATTATATTATTAGCTATTATTTTACCGCCCAGTGTGAGGTCATAAACCGACGATCCGTAATTTCGTCGAACCTTTTCAGTTTTGTTTACGAGTTACGTAACGATTTACAAAATCGTCATCCTCTTAGTCTTACTCAACGTTTTATGACAGTTTTCGAAAAATAAAATCAGAATATAAGAGATGTAAGGATAGGTAGGTAACCTATCCTTAATTTTTTTCTCGAATATTTCTCAATATGGACTTCTCCACTAAAATAAACATAACATTTATATGCGTTGTATTTAAACTGCCGACCTTAATGCAGGTTATAAATTAAGAAATAACAGTTCAGATGATGGCCCGTGACATTTCCCCGTGTATAGGTTAACAGGAAGTCGCATATATTATATTTGGACATTCGTAACATAAAATATTTTAATGCCGATGCATTTTTGTTATTGTACGATACGCATGGCCTTGTTGATGTTGTCTTAACGTTTAATATGCGCATTTTAAGCCATTTATAAGGAACATTTTTATTGTATTTTTTAATTGGATGCATAACTTGACGTCAAAGAGAACATTTATTAATTACTTTAGTTAAAGTAGTTTACATCCTAATATTTCTTGTTTTAAATTTACTCTACTTATTTGTTTCTGCTGCTTAATTATACCGAATAACATTCTCTTGTTTTCATCGATGAAATACCAACGAAATCGTACCTTTTGTGAAACGCGGTTGCGTAAAGAATGGAACGTAAAATTCTTCATCGTATATTATAGGTATTACATATGCAATTTCATTTTGAAAGCTAACCATTAAATTTGCGTTGTTAAAAGTGTTCTCTCCTTGAACGGTAGCACCAGCAAAAATTGGGTATTTATTCAATTGGCATCATTTATTTTCGACGGTCTGTAACTGTCATTGGAGGAGGCAATCTTTTTTTTTCTTCCGATAGACTTGTCGGCTCTTTAAGTTCACTTGAATGGAGAAACGGCAGCGAAATCCGTATAACCTGTCGTCGTTAACGTTCGTTCAATTGTTTGGTAATTTTTTTTTCAAAACATCGGTAAGATTGTCTTCGACACACTATTTCTGTTAAAATTTTACTGTGGTTAAATAATTGCTGGAAATACGTTAATGCAATTACTTTCCGTAAATTTAATATGATATTTCTCAGACAATTGATAATTGTAATCAGTTACACAGTCTTTTTCCAAGTCGTTTGATATGCTCAACGATGGTATTCTCATTCGAAAACTGAAAACATTTGACTTCTCAGATGTTTTAATTTTAATTTTAACTTCCTATCTATGCAACAGGAAGCAATATTACGGTTTTAAATCCGATCTCTTTCTGGATTCATCTGGCGTGCTTCAAGGGTCAGTACTTGGGCCACGCTCATTCATTTTATTTATAAATGATGTCACTGATGATCTTAATGTTTACTCATTGCTGTATGATGATTATATGAATTGTATTATACTGTCAACAACTGTTATGACTGTGAACCATTTTTAACCTGTTGATATTGTTTTGTTTGCATACAGAAGCTTGGGTTTTGTTATTCGAAGTTGTATGGCTTTTGATGATACTCTACATTTAAATTTACTACACCATCTTTTGTTAAGTTCAAACTGGATGATGCCTCAATCATTTGGAACTTTAGTTATAA